CTCCTGGCGGTGCTCTGGGGACCATATGGGATGCTGGGAATCGAACCAGGGTTGGCCGCATGCAAGGCAAATGCCCTACCCACTGTGCTATCACTCCAACCCTTAAACCAAGCATTCTTATGCTAATGAACTTGCTAGAATTGAGCGAGTAGATGCCTGGTGACATAATCACCCAAGACATGATCATTGTTAATTCATATTTGAACATTGAAACAAGCTTATACACTTGAAGTATGGAACTTTATGCATTTTTTCATTCTATGTTTTAAAAAGTATCAGTTTAGGTAATGTGTTTGCAATAATCTTTAAGGTTATGGTGGCACTGTAGCACTGTCCTCCCGCTGTTCCTTAATTTGCTTGTGCTGGCACCAGTAACGTCTCCATTGTGTGACTTGTTGTTACTGTTTTTGGCATATAGAATACTCCACAGAGAGCTTGCCAAGCTCTGCCGTGTGGGTGGGATACTCTTGGTAGTTTGCCAGGCTCTCTGAGAGGGATGGAGTAATCAAACCTGGGTCGGCTGCGTGCAAGGCAAACACCCTACCCACTGTGCTCCAGCCCTGTTATGGTATTGATGTGCAAAGTCATTTCATCCCATTGCCACCAAGTGCCCATGATCCTTACTTAGCTTCTATATTCATGTCACCTCTAGTCTTCATTTTCTCCCATATCTCCCCCCACTATTTGGTGATAAGTTTTGTAAGTTCAAGGTCAAGGGTTTGTCATAGTTCATGGAATGTTTTTTTAAACCTTACTTTGAAATGGAGAAATGATTTGAAGAAGTAATCTTCAGTCTGCCTCCACTTTGGATAGCAGTTCCCCTTACAGAAGAGGAACTGAAAAGAGCAAGAAGGCCTCACTTACTTAAACAATAGGTTACAGATTGGGGAATCGCATTAACAAGAAGGCAGTTGCTGAAGGCAACGTAGATCACTTGTTGAATCGCTCTGACCTACCCCAAATCATCTGGCATGAAGATATAAATCCAAGGTAAGATTCCCTAGGACAGCAGGGAATTCTCTTAATGCTATCATGTGAATAGATCTTAATGTGGCCATTAGAATATGCCCCACATTCATGGTCTAATAGCTTCCTTCCTCATGATAACTTGATGCACCCAAGTAGAGATGGGGTCTTCTTAAAAGTCACTTTGCCGAAGGATATCACTCTACAGCAAAATCTCAAAATAATTCTAAATCTGAGGTTCTTGTCATTGAGGAGAAAAGAAATGTTTGGCTTGTCCCTTTATAAGGGCAAAACAAGGCTTTTGTTGGCTCAAGATAGTAAGTTGGCAAAATATAGGCAAAAAGTTATTGAGTAGTTATTATGTCCCTTGAAGGTAGCTGAGTACTTATGTCACTTGAAAGTAACTGAGTGAGTTTTATGAATTATTTCATTTTATGGAAAAGCAAGTTAAAAAATCTCAGAGTTAAGAGTTCAAGGTTATAGAGTTAATAATGGTAGAAGCAGGATCAAAACCTAGAATAATGGACTAATAGAGCATAACCTCTGCCCTATTAATTTATACTCAAGAACCTTAAAACAATTTTAAATGATGTATAGTGATGAAAATTATCTCCTCAATATGTGTAAGGTTTCTAGAATACTACATGATATTAAGGACCAACACCAGCATGATTTTGCTTAAATCCTATATATTATTGCAGTCACATAATGAAAAAAAATCTACCATATAATTCAGATTCCCAGTTTCTCATATGTCCATATTCAAAGAAACCAAGCATACTTATGCACAAAAACACACATAATACATATGCATAGACCACAAATATACACATAAATACCCCCTAAACCATATAAAGGCCATAAACAAATAATAAACATAGATCATAAAGTACTTACATAAATATACATATACTACAGATAAACAGTTAAGACACGTACATACACCCCATAGACACCCACCTTGACTACAAATACAAACTACAGAGACACAATACAAATATACATACAGAGACCATTTAACCACATACACAACACAAATGTATGTGCCAAAGATAGACCATGCGTCTATTCACATAGACACACACACACATGCACACACATATAGCTAAAAACATACAGGCCATACACACAGTAGCAGAAGTTCTCCATGGGACTTTGTTTCTCCTTGTCTACTAATGACTCAATAGCTGTGTAGCTTCCACCATGCTCATCTTATTCCCATCTCATCTCCAGCTTCTGGTTTCTTCCAACCATCCCACTCCAGCACAAATAGGGAACACAACTCTTTGTCTCTAGTGCAGCCAGTACAAGATAGCTGTGATCAAGTAGAAGAGACATTATACTGTGACACATCCCAAAGCATAGTTAATGGATGCAAGCAGATTAGATATTTTCCAGTTTAGAAGTTCTGTTTCTCAGAACATGTCATTGATGCTTTTTCTGTTGTTACATATGTCCTCATCTCTAAAGACGATCTCCGTCTCTTGTCCCTCTTCTCAAGTATCCAGAGCTTTCACATAGCCTTATTCAGAACCCCACACCCTTAGTCACCATGGTCTTCCCATTCCCTGTCCTTGATCTTCCCTTTTAATTCCAAAAACAGACTACTGAGAAATTTTCTTAAAGGGAAGTCATTTTTCTATTTTAAAGGAAAATGAACGTTTAATTCCTTTATAAAACTAGATTAATTTGCAGCAGCTATAATTTCAATAGAAAGTTATTTTATTTCTTTCCTATATAAATTCTAGAATATTTCTGCTTAGTTGAAAAAGCATCATTAGTAATTTCCATTGCTTTATCCAATTTATCAAAAGCCAATTTTATTGATATGATTCTTTTAAAATAGGTCTTTTCCAAAACATGCTCAGGTTTATGATTTCAAAACTATAGGAATAATTTTTCAAGGAATGGGATGTTTTGGATACAAAAATATCCTGACTCAAGGAGCATTATCAAATTATCTCACACAAATTGCCAGTTTTTAAAGAAACAACATAAGACACTGATAAGGTTCCCCAACTGTCCCATGGTGGTGTGGTGGGAGTGCCCGAGAATAGATGACTGGTTAAAGAAACTTTGGTACATCTACACAATGGAGTACTATGTAGCAGTTAGAAAAGATGAAGTCATGAAATTTACATACAAGTGGCACTGCATGGAAAGTATGATGCTAAGAGAAATGAGTCAGAAAGAGAGGAACAGGCATAGAAAGATTGCATTCATCTGGAGAACATAAAGTAACAAAATAGGAGATTAACACCCAAGAATAGCCAAGATAAATACCAGGAGGTTTACTCCATGGCTTGGAGGCCAGCCACACATGCTAGGGGAAAAGGGAGCTCAGATAGAGAAAGGAGTACCAAATAAAGGGTGTTGGGAGGATCCTGCCAGGATGGAAGATGCATGCTGAAAGTAGACTATTGACCAAACATGATTGCTACTCAATGCCTCTTCTGCAAACCATAGCACCCAAAAGGAGAGAGAGAACAAAAGGGAATGCCCTGCCACAGAGGCAGTGTAGGATGGAGGGGATGGGAGGGGATGGAGGGGATGGGGGGTGGAGAATGGGCACTGGTGGAAGGATGGGTATTAGATCATTTTATAACTGAAACCCAAGCACAAAAATTTGTGGATCTACAACTGTACCTCATGGTGTTTCACTAATTAAAATTTAAAAAAGAAAAAGAAAGAAAATAAATTTGACCTTTGGAGCCAATTATCCCTCGCTTAAATATTTGCTTTTATGAGGAATAAAGAAATAATTTTCATGTAAATTTCCTAACATATAACAAATGTTGAGTAAATATCCATTTTTGACAGCCCTCCCTCTTTCCCCTCAAGTGAGAAGAAACTACTACCACATTCTACTCCACATTATTCTCTTTCATTAATGATTTTGAAGGCACTTCAGAATCTTACTGTGCCTTAGGGCTCCCTATGAGTATCACTTCTTACTATTATGTGCGGAGTGCTAGCATGCTAGATTAAAGCATTTATTATATATAATTAGTTCATGGGAGAAATCTAATTATAGCTTCTCATGATTACTAATTTCCATCAGTTGGTGTTATTTTTGTTAATTCAATGCCATTAGCAACCATTAGGACCAAATCTTAGACAAGTAATATTGATCTTACAGTACCTTATTTGAGATGTTGTGCCTATCCAGAAGTGGCAGGCTTTAGAAAACATTTAGACACAATATTTAGCTATCTAAGTTACTCGAACTTTATTTCTTATTTCTTTGTCACATTAGTTTCATCTATAGTATGCACATATTTGATACTTAAGTAGTCTTATTTTAATTCCCTAAGATATAAGTAAGGAGTAGAGAGAACTCTGGGTAGGGTGCGTGTCTTGTGCTCAGCAGACCGAGGTTTGATCCCCAGCACTCCATATGGTCCTCTGAGCCCTGCCAGGAATTATTCCTAATCACAGAGCCAGGAATAACCCTGAGCACAGCTGGGTATAACACAAATACAAACAAAAAGATGAATCTAGGGATCTTAGAAAATATGTACTTTATATGACTGTATAAATATTGTTAAAAGGCCCTCCCGTTGATCATCGATTTGCTCGAGCGGGTCCAGCAACGTCTCCATTGGAGACTTTATAAATATTGTTATGTTTTCCATTTTTAAATATTGTCATTTTGCAGCCATAAAGATAATACAAGGTTAAGATGCTTGCCTTGCACACATTCAATGATGGATTGATCCCCAGCATCAGATATGATCCCACAAATACCACCAAGAATGGCCCCTGAAGGTCTGGCGGGACAGTACAGTGATTGAACAGATAGCACAATGGGTAGGGCTCTTCCCTTGCATACGGTAGACAAAAGTTTGCCCTGGCACCCCATAAGGTCCCCTGAGCCCACCAAGAGTGATCTCTGAGTGCAATAAATAAATATTTACTTATTTTAACTATTACTATACACATTTTCTAATTTTTGTTTCTATATTTATTCTTTGTCTTGTTATTGATGCTGCTGCTGCTGTTGTTATTTTCAGTTTCTCACTACACAGGTAACTATGGATCTGATCAATTCTTCTGATTACCTGCTCCATAATTCTACTTCGGGGAGAAACAGTACTCTCCTTCCAGAGCTTGTCAAAATGATCGCTGTCCCTTTATTATTCACATCATTTTTGATTGGTACTATCATCAATGGTCTCTACCTATGGGTGTTAAGATTCAAGATGAAAAAGACGGTCAATATTCTCCTATTTTTCCATCTCATCCTTTCATACTTCGTGTCAGCATTTACTCTGCCATTTGTTGCCACCTCCTACCTTCAGAATAATCACTGGAGATTTGGAACTGTCATGTGCAAGGTTGTTAACAGCACTTTGTCCTTGGGGATGTTCACCTCTGTTTTCTTCCTCTCGGCCATCAGTGTAGATCGTTACCTTCTAGTTCTTCATCCAGTGTGGTCACAGCTGCACCGAACCCCACGAAGCGTGTCCATCATCATCCTGGGAATCTGGATCTCTGCCATGGCCCTCAGCATGCCCTATTTATTTTTCAGAGAGACACAAGAAAATGATGACAAAACTGTGACCTGCCAAAATAACTATACGGTGTTTATAAATGGGGAACATGAAAAGATGAAAATATTAAGCGAAAAGATTCACCTGGCCTGTTTCATTGGCCGATTCTTGGTGAGCTTTCTTCTGCCTTTCTTCATCATCACCTTTTGTTACGAAAGAATCAGCAACAAGGTAAAAGAGAGGAGCTGGCTTAAGTCCAATAAGCCCTTTAGAGTCATGGTGACTGCCATTATCTCTTTTTTTGTGTGTTGGATGCCCTACCATATATACCAGGGCTTAAAACTCACTAGCAGTCAGTCACAGCTTTCACTGCTGTTTCTAATATTTACACTGATAACCACTTCTTTCAATTCTCTTTTTTCTCCCACACTTTACCTATGTACTGGAGAGAACTTCAAAAAGATTTTCAAGAAGTCCATTCTTGCTCTGTTTGAGTCAACATTCAATGAGGATTCCTCTGCAGAAAGGACACAAAATGTAAATTCAGAAGCTGACATTTAAATTCTCCCAGAGAAAACATGGATTATTGGTTCATTATACCATAAAAAAGTCTTCTGTTTTGTATTATATAATCCCAATATTAGAGAGCAATCTAAGTTGAACGATAGTTAGATCTACAAATATTTCAATGTGCTACTAGTCGGCCCAGATAGTATACTCATAGTATATTGCAACTATCTTTAATAATTTCCAAAAGGTTTTATTATCCCAAAGAGAAACTCTGTACCTATTAAGCAATAACTACACATTTCCTCTTCCCTCCAGTTCCTCATACCCTCCTATCTATTTCTCATCTATTTTCTTTCCCCATGATTTTTTCTATTTTAGACGGAATCATGCAATATATCACCTTTGGTGTTTGATTCATTTCACTTAGAATAATGTTTTCAAGTTTCATCCATGTTGAAACAAATATCATAATGTCATTATCTTTAATGACTGCCTAATACTTCACTGTATGTACATATCATTTTGCTTACCATTTTGTTGAAGGACATTTGGGTTGTTTTTATCTCTTGAATAGTATGGATAATGGTACTAACATGGTGTATAAATATCTGAGTCCTTCTCAATTATTTGAATTATTTTTGAACTGTTCAATCATATGGTAATTCCATGTTTAACTTTTTGAGGAACCACAAAACTTTTTTAGAGAAGCTGCACCATGCTATGTTTCCATCAGCAATGTACAAAAATTTGAATTCCTTTATATCCTCATCAATATTTATAGTTTCTTTTAAAAAATGAGAGTCATCTTAGTGTAAAATGGTGCAAATGTTATTCCTAACTTTTAAATTTTGTCTTGTTTTGTTTTGTTTTGGGATTACACTCAGCAGAGCTCAGGCCTTATGCCAGGGTCAGTGTTCAAGAGATCATTCCTGGCAGGTCTTGGGAGTCCATCTGGGGTCTGGGGATCAAACCCAAGTCAGAGTATGCAAGACAAATGCCTCACCCACTGCACTCTCACTCCTGCCTTCACTTTTTTTTTAATGTAGGAGTACTGTTACCTATTCAGCCACTGACTAGTTGATTGAATTGGGCATGAACTCCACCCTACTCTTCTTTTCCTTTCATTTTTCATAATTTTATTTATTGAATCACTGTGAGAGCAGTTACAAACTTTCGGATTTAAGTCTCGCTCATACAATGAAACACTTGTACCCCCACAAGTGCCCATTCTCCACCACCAAAAACCGCAGTAAGCCCCCATCCCACACCCTCCCCCTAACTGTGAGGCAGATGATCTCCAAATTTCTCTCTACTTTGATCACACTCAACACTTTGACACCAGAGCACCATTATTATTTGGAATTTTACCACAACACTCAGATCTGCTGAAAAGGCAACAGTAGACAATTTGTTTTCTATTGCTGGATAAAAACAACACATGATGTCATGTGGCTGCAGCAGTGGCTGCACGACCTTGAAATTCCAAAATTTTAATAATTAAAACTGGAGGGATTTCTGCCAAAACCTGCTGGGTTCCGAGATTTGTTCCCGAGTCTCTGGGATCATGGCCATTACGCAGCTTGATCAGGAGCCAGAAAGGCCGTTCATGGGTGGCAACTTGGGGTCTTGCTGGGCTGGGGAGGAAAGGGCCGGCTCCACACCCCATCCCATGAGGCCCAACGTGTCTCGTCACTGAGGGCCCAAACCTGACTGTCCAATGGCCTCTGGAGGATAGCAGCCATCAAGCCACCTAGGGGGAGCAGGCAGAGGGACAGCACGCTTCCCCCCCCCCCCCCCCGCCCCGGGTGGCCCAGCGACAGTAACCTACTGCGGGGTCCAGACGCATTTCTGCCAAAAGCCACTGGGTTTCAAGATCTGTCTCTGAGTCTCTGGGATCATGACCATCAAGCAGACTGATCAGGAGCCATAGAGGCCGTCTGTGGGCAGCAACTCGGGGTCTCTTTCGGGGAGGAAAGGGCCAACTCCATCTTCATCCCGTGAGGCCCCACATGTCTTGTCACTGCAGGCCCAAACCTGACTATCCAGTGGCCTCTGGAGGATGGCGACCACCAGGCTGCAGGGGGAACAGGCCAAGGCACAAAACCTATTCCCACCTGGGTTGGCCCAGCACTGGTAACCTACTGCAGGGACCGGACGCATTTCTGCCAAAAGCCGCTGGCATTCGAGATTTGTTTCTGAGTCTCTGGGATCATGGCCATTAAGCAGTTCAATCAGGAACCAGAGAGGCCATGCCTCCAATTATATAGCTGAGCCGGAGGTGGTTTGTGGGTGTGTTTCCCACATACCTAACTTTTGGCCATTTACTTTCTTGGTAAACTTTGCCCCAAGTTTTTGGGGTCTGGCCAAAGGCACAGCAGCAATTTTGGGGTATCTGGAAGTCTGAAGGCACCATCAGGCTACTGATGCACTCGCCTCACAGGTACAGATTGACCAGCTGGTGGCCCCATACCCCCTCACTTTTTATTTTTGAGACTATAGAAATATCAAATTTTTTTTTTTGCTTTTTGGGTCACACCAAGCGATGCACAAGAGTTACTCCTGGCTCTTCACTCAGGAATTACTCCTGGCGGTGCTCGGGGGACCATATGGGATGCTGGGAATCAAACTCGGGTTGGCCACATGCATGGCAAGCACACTACACGCTGTGCTATCACTCCAGCCCCCAGAAATATCAATTTCTAAACAACAACCATTGATCTGAATTTTCTGTCATACAATCTTTCAGCAAATAGACATTAAGGCAGCACGTAGGAAGCTTGCCTTACATACAGCCACCACAGGTTTGATTTCTGGCACTCCATATGGTCCTGTGAGTCCAAGAGAGATCCCTGAGCATAGAGCTAGGAATAATCCCTGAGCACAACTAGGTGTGATTACCCCAAACAAAACAATCAAACAAACAACAACCTGAGATCTCTCTTTTTTCTTCTTTTTGTTGGAGAAAGGAGTTTTTGTTTTGGGGTTTTAGCCACTTCTGGTGGGTGTTGAGGGGTTACTCCTTTATCCATATTAATTAAATAACTTAGGTGCTACCTAAATAGAGATCACAATAACTAGAGAGTTTGTACATGCTCAGGGACCATGCATTTTCAGGAATTGTAACCTGGCTTCTCACATATTCCAGTCCCTGGAGTTAACTCCCCAGTCTAAGAGTTCAACTCTAATGCACAAGCAGAGGGATGGAGATATAGGTTACAAAATAGAGCGCTTTCTACTCCCTGCCATCTTCCTACCTACAAGAGAAATGAAAGCTCCATACAGACCCTACTTTTTTTTTTTTAACACTTTGCTTTCTTCCAAATTAGTCTTCTTGCTTGAGGATAACAAATTAGCATGACTGAATCCTAGTTGTAAAGAAGGCTGGGAAGCCAAGTTCTGATTTCTAAAAGAGCAGGAAAGGAATGTTCACATAAGGTGAAACTTCCCACAGCTAAAATTTGGAGAATGTATAGGATGCGACAAGGATTCAGGTTTTTGTGTCCGGAGAGAGATAGTGACACTATACACAGAAATAAGGGACAAAAGAGAAAGAAAAAAGTTGTTTTATGATAAGGACTTAGACATAACCATAACTTTCCAGTACCCAATGGACATCCATGGGGGACATCAAGTAGGTGTTAACATCCAAAAGATAAATTTGAGTCTCATAAGTATAATGACCCCTCACTCATTCAGACTCTATGCAGCTATCATCTCTCCAAAAGGCTCTCCAATCACACTGCTGTACTATCCCAAACTTTATCCTACTCTTTTTATTTCTAGCACTTATTACTACTGAAATTATTTGAGATATTCATCTGTGTGCTCTAGATAAACATTTACAAGCTGGGATATTTCCCAGAACTGAGGCCGTACTGTTGATACCAGGAGGTTGCCCATAATGTGAGTGTGGGGGAGGCAGCAGATCAGGCATCTATTTTGTGCCAGGAGGCAACATGCATTATCTATTTCTCTCAGTTTGTAGAATAGCTTTGTAAGACACAAAGCTCTGATTTTGTTCACTGCTCCCCTCACATTGCTTTGAACAGTATTTGGCACACCATCAGTGCCCAATAACATGGAGTGAATGGATGAATGAATGAAAATTGAATCCATAAGGCTACATGAAAAAAAATAGGCTTAGAACAAATCTGCCTAACACCATGTACAAAAGTAAGATCAAAATGGATTAAAGACCTTTACATCAGACCAGAAACCATAAGGTACATTGAAGACGAAGTTGGCAAAACCCTCCATGACATTGAAGCTAATGGTATTTTCAAAGATGCCACGCCACTGGCCGAGCAAGTGAAAACAGAGATAGATAAATGGGACTATCTTAAACTAAGATACTTCTGCACCTCCAAAGAAACAGTGACCAAAAAACAAAGACAGTCTACAGAATGGGAAAGGATATTCGCTGAATACACATCTGACAAGGGGTTGATATCAAGGATATACAAAGTACTGGTTGAACTCCACAAGAAGAAAACATCCAACCCCATAAAAAAATGGGGCAATGAAATGAACAGAAACTTTCTCAAAGAAGAAATCCGAATGGCAAAAAAGCACATGAGAAAATGCTCTACATCATTAATCATCAGGGAGATGCAGATCGAAACCACAATGAGATACCATCTCACACCTCAGAGACTGGCCCACATTCAAAAGAACAAAAGCAACCTATGCTGGCGCGGATGTGGCGAGAAAGGGACACTCCTTCACGTTGGTGGGAATGCCGACTAATTCAGCCCTTTTGGAAAACAGTATGGACGATTCTCAAAAAATTAGAAATTGAGCTCCCATGTCACCCAGCAATACCACTCCTGGGAATATATCCCAGAGAGGCAAAAATGTGTAGTCGAAGTGACATCTGCACTTGTTTGTTCATTGCAGCACTCTTTACAATAGCCAGAAACTGGAAGAAACCTGAGTGCCCAAGAACAGATGACTGGTTAAAGAAACTTTGGTACATCTACACAATGGAGTACTACGTAGCTCTTAGAAAAGATGAAGTCATGAAATTTACATACAAGTGGTACAATATGGAA